ATTTATTAATAAACTTGGGTTCTGAGCGAACCATATTTCTTGTGAAACACTGTGTGACATTGTTTAAAGGATTCTTGATAAATATCTTCTTGAATATTTCTTTATATAAACTATTTCTTTAAATTCTTTCTTTGGGAATTGTCCTTTTAAAAGCAATTCTACTTGGACATACTGGTCAAATATAAATTTGATCACATTTTAGTGATTATAATAAGACCTTGCTCTTCAAAAAGGACATTTGGGACAGGATTAATCTTTCTTGGAAGGATATTTGAATGAATAATAACTTGAATAATTGGATTTTAAAACCACCACCAGATTTTGCAATTATTTATCCTGAATACTCTCTTGAAACTCTTTCTTCTTCTTCTTCCATCCACTCTTTGGATACTTCTAATCACAATCAATATAGTGCAATCCATTCTTCTCCACTATCTTATAACTTAGCAATGGATAATATTTTTCAGGACCCTTGGGATCAAGCAGACCGACCTTACAACTTGAATCAATCTTGAAATAGATATTCTCCACCAGGCCAGGATGATGATGAGGAAAGTAATGGACAGGAGAAGCACCATGACAACCATCAGGACAACAGGGAGGATGAACAAGTTCCAAATAGAAGTAAACAATAGTTCTCATCTACAAGGGCTGAAATGATAACAATTGTAATGATACTTCTAGTAGTTCCTATTAATAGCACAGTTGAAATTTGTATAGATAGTTAAGTCTGTATTTTCTTATAGAAAACAATAAGAAAAGAGGTCTTGAGAAGAATGCATAAGAAATAATTAAAAGAGAAAAATTGATTTCTTTAAGTATAAATGATAGAACTAATAAAAAGAAAAAATATAAATTTAAAGCTTATCAAAATTAAGGCACTCTTCAATAACCCTTATAATTAAGAAGCAGATGTTCTTGTTAAAGAAACCCTAAAACTCTTATCAATTGAATAGAAGGATCTTCTTTCATATAAGATTATTACAGAAATCAAATAACAAGACAAAACCTTAGATGATTCAATTAAACAATTTTTTAAAAATATTAATAACAAAATAATTGCCTATCAATAGATATAGTAAAATAGAACAGAAAAAAAATAGAGCTATCAAATTTTAGAGTATCAACTTTACACATAAGATCTGATATGAAAAAGAATCAAAGATATTATATGAGATATCTTTTAAGAAATCTCAATATAAAAGCTTTTTTATCAAACTGAACAACAGTGGGTTACTAATATTAAGTAAATTAGTTATAAGAAGACCTGATCTATATAAGCAAGTGAAATATATCACATGTAATTAACAAGAAAAAATTATAAAATACTTGCTAGAATGTTCAGTCTACAAAGACCAACTACAAGTAGTATGGAATAAATAAGTAGATAGAATTATTAGAAATTTTAAAAAGCTCTTGCAAAAAAGAAAAAAGAAAGCTATAAAGAAAAGTATCAGACTAATTACTAATGATCAAGAAAAACTCAAGAAGCTTGACAAGTGGATCTCTAGACTAGTGAAACAAACTTCTAAAACTAGTTAAGATACTTTAAGTTTTTGTATCAGACTAATAAAAAGTAGTCTCATTTTAAAAATAACAAATCTAAGATACTATGGAAAACATATAGAAAAAAAAATAAGAAAATAAATATTAAATATATAAAAAAGAATTTCAACCAAGTCTGAAAAAGAATCTGAAATAAGAGATGTAAAAAGATAATTAAATAGAAATAGTTACAAGAAATTAGTAGAGTAAATAAGATTAAATAATCTTTAAGTTTCACAGGTCAAAAAACTATATTCATCAAAAAAAAAAACCATTACTAAAAAAAAAAAATCTATAAAATAATGAAGCTTTCAAGAAATTTTAACAAAAAGAGTAAAATATAAAATAATGTGGTTTGGTATTGAGCTTTGTCAGAATATTACAGAGTAATCTGCAATAGTGATCTGCAGGCAATGAAGTTAGCAATTAGAAGAGTTTTTACTTGAATTACTAATAGAATGATAAATTATTTCCAAAGTTGTATTTAGAATTTTAATAAATTTCAAAATATTGATAAGTAAGTTTGATAGAGATTTAGCTTTAGCAACACATTTTTAATGTAAAGCATACAAAACATTTAATAAAGCATACATATCTAGCCTAACAGAGGGCCTAAAAAAAATATTATTACATATTTTCAACTTTATTTTATAAAGCATTTGTATTTGATTAATGATATAACTAATAGTTAAATAATATTTATTTTTTTTCTTTCTTTAAAGGATTTCTAGAATTTATATAGATTTATTTTTACAAGTAATTTAAAACTTTGGGTTAAATAAAATCTTGCATTTTTAATACTATTTTGCTCTTCCCTTTCAAAAAAAATTTTTTTTTAATTCTAAAAATTTTACTGCTATAAATCAATATAAAAAATTATTATAAATAGTTTTTGATAATTATTAATGTAAAAAATTTAATGTTTTTTAGTAGGAAATGTATATCTTTTGTCTTTATTCTTTCCTTTAGAAATCCAATCTTATATAAAGAATATTTTCATTAAAATTTATAATTCTCGCAAGTCAATCTGATCACGTGAGTGATGACATACAGTATATTTATTATTTACATGCCAAACTCGCGTCAAGTATTTTTTTTTTTTTTCCTTAGCTGCTGGAACGATGTCTTCAAGTCAACTACTTCCCCGTATGAAACGCGAACTAGGTAGAGTTCATATATCCTTCGTACGCGTCATTTGTTATACAGAGCTGCCAGTTAAGATAATGCGTCGACTATCACTATTCATAGAAATGTTGGAACGGGACGCACCGCCTGGCATTGTGTGCTACCCAGCAGACGACAGTTTCATGCGATTTTGCGCCCGTAAGTGATTGATTTGTACCAGTTTACCGTCTCTGGCAAGTTAAACTAAAAATTCCAATCCTCATTAAAAGAGATAAAGGGACCGAAAGACACACCATACGAGGAAGGCATGTTTAAAGTAGACGTGCAAATTCCCGCACGGTACGAATTAAAACCTGATCTTCACTCTTATTTCAATTCGTGATTAAACGCGCTGGAACCTCTTTAGCTACCCCATGGAACCACCCAAAATGCAATTCGTCACACCAATCTACCACCCGAATATCGACGACGCTGGAAGAATATGCCTTGATATACTAAAAATGCCACCTAACGTATATATAATGCTATATTATTGGATTCTTGCGAAACTCGGTTCTATGATGTAAACAAGTCTTGTGAAATCAATGCAGGGATCCTGGAAACCTTCTCTAAATATTTCTACTACGTTAACTTCTTTGAGTCTTTTGATGGCAGAACCCAATCCGGATGACCCACTTTTAGTTGAAATTGTAAGTTCGATGTTACACGCGTATCAATATCATCTTTGCACCAGCGTCGCGTGCGGACACATTTAAAACTGAACGTTCAATGGATAGGCTAGTGAATATAAGGAAAATCGATCCTTGTTTCTTCGTAAAGCACGAGAAGCGACCTCAAAGTATGCAGTTGATGACAAGAAAACTCGTAACACAAAGGTATTGAGACATGATAACAATGCATTTGGGAAAACACTCAAATTTGCGCAAAATTTATAAAGGGTGATGTTGAAAGTCCCGAATCTATACTGTCGACCAACGCTTGCGTTATAAAAGATACTGAAAATTCCGAATCCATACCACCGACTGATGTCCCTGTTCTAGAGATACATTCAAGGGTAATTCGTAAAGAATAATAATTTAAAATTGATGATAGGTAGTGCATTCAACACATTCTTCTTTCAGGATATTACTCAAGAATGCACAGTGGATTCCAATGACGAAGGTGCTTCAAAAACTCCGGAGGGTGCACTAACAGTTGACGGTCGCATCTCGCAAACAATTCTTGAACCATTTTGTGCACAAGGTTGTAACATGAGGGACGACAAAGGACCGACGGTGGAATTCGGCAATCTGGATCGTTCCGAGAAAAGAAAGCCTTTTGGTGATCTTACTAATCAAAAGGACAGTCTGAAAGTGAATCGTTCAAAAAAGTCATTAAGTGAAATTATCAAAAAACATTCAAGCGAGAGAAAACCTTTGGGTGACCTTACCAATCGAAGTACCAACGTAACTGTGAATCAGATTTCGGGAACAAAGGTGCGGGCAGAAAAAAGGAAGCTTTTAGAAGACAATCTGCAGCAAACTTGTGATGCGGCAAGTGCAATGAATAAGCTTCCAGAGGCTGATGGTAATTTTCAAGTGGTCAACAAAACCGAAAAGAAACGAAATCTCCTGCGAATGAAACCGAAGGATGGTTCGGCGAAAAAAATAAAGAATTGATTGACTTTGTTATCCCATTCTAACATCATCTCTTTAAATTAGCATGAAAACAACGGTTCTTTGCAAGTGTACCAAAAAATGAATCCTTTTATCAATTATTGCCTCCAAAGCAAAATGTGACAATAAAAAGCTATTAAGACTCCATATCACTCGAACTTCATGTAGCCATTCCGCGTTTAATGGCTTGCTATTGATAAACGTACCATTAATGGCCAATACGAGTTTTTACTGTTAGCACATAAGGGATGATGGAAACGAAAGGACGGAATTTATTTTTTTTATTTTTTTTTTGGCTTCTATTGTCCAATTCCAGTTAAAGTTAATTCTGGCGCGGTAGCAGAATCATGCCGCAGCAAAATGATGAGACGTGTTCATCAACGGTACGCTCGTTATTTACGTATCCTAAATAAATTGCACCTGAATAATCATCCGCATTTA